CACACACACACACACACACACACACACACGCATATATCTGGCCAACACCCTGCGCGATCCCAGCCGGCTGCCTCCTCCCCCTCCCCTCCTTCCTGCCACTTCGCCCCCTCGCGTCGCCCCCCTGGCGCCACCCGGTCGCTTTCTCCTCCCCTCTCCCTCCCGCTCGTGTGATCCCACTGCATTTCCCCTCCCCCCCCTGAGAGCTGCATCCTCTCGGCCCCGATCTGCGCTCGCGCCCGCGCCACCATGAACGACCCGTCTGCGTTCTCCGACTGGTCTGAGCGGTCGCTCTTCTCTGCCCTCGGCTCGGGAGCGCGCTTCGACCGCTCCGCCAAGAAGGCCTTCGCCGGTGCGCGCGATGCCTCGGCCGCCAACCAGCTGAGCACCTCATCCAAGCAAACCCGTGAGAAGATCGCCTCGCAGCTGGACTTCTTCGGGACAGGGACCTCCCTCCTGCAGGGCACCACTGCCAAGGATAAGGATGCCGCCGCCGCCGAGGACGACGGCCCCGACACCGACACCGATGCCGATGAGCCGGAGGACACCGGCTCCGGCGCCGAGAGCGATGCCGAGGATGACGGTGAGGACGCGCCTGCCCAGCTGTCGCGCAAGGATCGCAAGCGTGCGCAGGTTCGCGTCAGCGACCCGGAGGCCCCGAAGCCGGTGACGTCCTTCCAAGAGTTCGCCACCCGCTACGGCATCGCCTCCTACCTGGCCAACAATCTGGAGAAGTACCACTACTCCAACCCGACCCCGATCCAGCAGCACGCGCTGCCCATCATTTCCGAGGTCCGTGCACACGCACACATGGTGTTTCCCCTTTCCCCGCGCGGTCACCTGCCCCCAGCCACTCCACCTGGATGTCGACCCACCGCCTGCTTTCTGACACATGCATCTGCATGTGCTATCTTTCCCGCTTTCACCCCCTGTCCCTCCTCTTGCGCTTGTCATGCACAGGGCCGCGAGGTCCTGGCCATCGCGCCGACCGGCTCCGGTAAGACGCTGGCCTACCTGCTGCCGATCCTCCATCTCTTGAAGGGTCCCTCCGGCGAGGGGCATCGCGCCCTCTTCATTGTCCCCACCCGGGAACTGGCTCAGCAGGTAGGCGGTCCTTCTTCCGGCGCCACATGTGTCTGCTCTTTGCCCCTTCCCGTCTTCCCCCCCCCCCCTCTAACACCCTCTGCTCCATGCACCACTGCCCATAGATTTACCGCGAGTTCAAACGCCTCAGCGAGGGTCGCAATTTCCGCGTGTGTGTCCTGACCAAGGCCTCGGCTGCCGGGTCCAAGGAGCAGCAAGTCCTCAGCAAGCGCTTTGGTATGTGTCCCATCTCCACACCCCCCCCCCCCTCCCTGGCACTGTCTTGCTTGTTGTCGATGGCAACTGACCCCTCGCCGCCCTTCCCTTCTGCTTTTTCTCCCCCCCTCCATTCCTCGCTGCTTCTCTCACCATGCCCGTCGTGTAGACATTCTCATCACCACCCCGATGCGCCTGGTCCACCTCATACAGCAGAAGGCCGTCGACCTGACCAAGCTCGAGCACCTGGTGCTTGATGAGGGTGATCGCCTGCTGGAGCTTGGCTTCTTGGAGCAGGTCGATGAGATTCTGGCCGCGTGCGGCACCGCCGCCGGGGCTGGCCCGGCTGCTGACACCGGTCGGCGGCCCCTATCCAAGTACCTCTTCTCGGCCACCCTCTCGGTGCAGATCGAATCCATGGCCCGGTCGTTCATGCGCGACCCGGTGCGCATTGTGGTCGGTGTGCGTAACACCGTGTCTCTGACGGTCGAGCAGTCGCTCATGTACGTCGGCAGCGAGGAGGGCAAGCTGCTGGCCATCCGGCAGATCATTCAAAAGGTGCGCATCCAACATCCCCCTCCTCTCCGGCTCCCGGGTGCCGTGTGTCCTAGCCCTCGCATATTGACCTCCTCCCCCTACCCCCTACCCCCTACCCCCACCATGCTCCTCATCCACAGGGCGTGCGCCCGCCGGTCCTCATCTTCGTCCAGTCGAGGGAGCGCGCCAAGCAGCTCTTCCACGAGCTGGTGTACGACGGCATCAATGTGGATGTCATTCATTCGGAGCGTACGCAGCAGCAGCGCGACCAGATCGTCGACAAATTCCGCACCGGGCAGATCTGGTTCCTGATTGCCACCGAGCTCATGGGTCGTGGTATGGATTTCAAGGGTGTCAACTTGGTGATCAACTATGACTTCCCCCAGACCACCGTTTCATATATCCACCGGGTGGGTCGTGCTGGCCGTGCTGGCCGGCCAGGCCAGGCTATCACCCTCTTCACCAACGATGACAAGCCCATGCTGCGGTCCATTGCCACGGTCATGAAGGAGTCCGGCTCCAAGGTGGAGGACTGGATGCTCACCCTGCCGCGTGTGTCCCACGGGCACAAGTCCAAGGTGGCCGCGCGGCCGATCTCCCGCTCGGACATCACCTCCTCCCATGAGACCAAGTTCGAGCGCCGCATCAAGAGCCGCAAGAGGTGCGCACTTTCTGTCCCGGCGACGGTGCCATGTCCCTGGGCGCCGCGGGGGAGCGCTGACGGTCTCCTCCGTTGCGGGCTGTCTCCCTCTCTCTCTCTCTCTCTCCCCCCCTTTCCTTGCTGACCCTCCCTTTCGCCTCTCACTTGATCTATATGTTTCTGCTTCTCCGAACACGCTTCTGCCCAGGCAAATCATCGAGCAGTCCAAGCAAAAGAAGGACCGGGCAGCCAAGCGCGCCAAGAAGGATGCCAAGAGTGGTGGGTCATCCGCGGAGACCGATGCGTCGGCAGATTCTTGAGGGCGATGCCGCCCGCGCGCCCGCACGCATGCATGTTCGCTTGTCTGCGTGCGTGCATGTGTGTGTGTGTGTGTGTGTGTCTTCCGCCCCCCTCCTTTCTAGCCGCGGGCACACGCATGCCGGTGTCTGTTTCTCCCTCCGCTCCCTCCCCCTCCCCCTCTGATGAGAATGGTGGACCTCTTTTTCATCCTCCCCCCAGTGTGCCCTGCTGGCTGTTGTGTGCTATCTCCTCCTCGCATGCCTCCCTGTGGGGTCACCGCGGGTGCACTGCTCTTTTTACCATCCCACAATAGAATCAAACATACATGCATCTCCCTCCCCCCCCCCCTTTGCGTCTTCCCCCTCTTGCTGTCCTGGGCGCGTCGTGTGTGGCGAAAAATGAGCGAAAAAAAAACAGAGAGAGAGGAAATGTCCACTTGGGCAGCATATACAAAGACAGGGACGCGCGCTATCGGTGGGGTTTCATTTGGCCGAGAAGGGAGGGGAGATGGTGCCTGTTCGCGCACATACGCACTCCCACACCCGCACGCGCGCGCGTGCGCGCGCGTACACATGAAAGTGAGCGAGGGAGAAGGCGGCAACAGTAGCCGACACATGCACTTACACACAGACATACGCACAGGCGCACACGACCCATCAGAAGCCGCGGTGACTTGATGAGGGCCGGAAGCTGCTCATGTGAGGCGTCGCGGCGTAGGTCATCTTGCTCTCGGCCACATAGGTGAAGCCGTCGAACTGGGCCTGAACGCTGCTGCTGAGGTGGTCGCCGCTTTCGACAACCGAGTCGACCGGCATCTGTCGGGCACGCGCATGGGAGGATGCAAGCGTGTCAGTGGTACAAGGAACCGATTGGCAGGGAGGAGCGAGCGAGGCCCGAAGACGCACCATGGTGGTGAACTCCTCGTCGAAATTCCGCGTGTCCGTCTGCCCGCCAACCTCCGGCCGGAAGGGCGGGGCCACCTGCCGGGCGTGGAGCTTATCCCAGCGAATGTCGGCGAAGAAGGGATGCGCGCGGATCTCGTGGGCGCCACCCGAGCCGAGGCGCGTCGATGGTGACCGGTCTAGCAGGCCGCGCAGCAGGGACTGCGCCTTTGGTGACACCTCCGGCGGAAAGACCAGAGGCGCATTCAGGATCTTTTGGTACATCTCCTCGATGTCATCGGCGAAGAAGGGAGGTAGCCCCTGTGTTCATGTACGTGGATACGCCAATGCAGCATTGTGTGTGCGTGTGCGTGTGTGTGTGTGTGTGTGTGTTCATGTGTTTTGTCGCGCGGCCCCGTGTTCCGGCATGGCAAAAGGGGGAGAAGGAAGGTGGGAAATATCCGGTCAGTCTCATTGCAGTTGTGGTCGCCTTTCTCGGACACACACACACACACATGGATATATATAAATAGATGCATATGGCTACTCCTCCTTCTGGCGAGAGGAAAGGAGGATATCGCCCAGTGCAGCGGGATTAGGAGGGGAGGGGCAAATGTGCACGCACGGTGATCATCTCGTAAAGTAGGATACCGAGGGTCCACCAGTCAACCACCTTGGTGTAGCCCTCCCCGAGGAGGAGCTCCGGGGCCTGGTTGGCATTGGTATCGAATGGGAACGAAAGGAAGGAGAAGAAGAAAGGGGGACACGCGTAGGGGGTGGGCAATGGTGGCAAAGGCAGGTGGGTTAGGTGAATGAGGCAAAGAAATGGCAGCAGATTCAATGGGGGAGCGGGAGACAGAGAGAGAGACAGAGACAGAGAGAACGAAGGAGAGGCAGGGAGTGGACACCAAAGCTCACGGATCGCGCCATCCGAGCACGCCCGGCCAAGGCAGCAAAAGGGACGCACCAGGTACTCCGGAGTCCCGCAGAAGGTGTTGGTCTTCTTGCCAGAGGTCATGTTTACCTTGCAGAGGCCGAAGTCGCAGAGGGCAATGTGCCCATTCGAGTCGAGGAGGATATTCTCGGGCTTGAGATCGCGATAGACAATGTCAAAGCCATGTAGATACTCCAGGGCCATCAATAGCTCGGCCGTGTAGAATCGGGCCCGGCGCTCATCGAAGGACCCTTCGTCCTGGAGGTGCTTAAAGAGCTCGCCACCATTGACGAAGGCCAAGACCAGGTACAACTTGTCGGGGGTCTGGAATGAAAATTTGAGGGAAACAATGAATGGATGCGTCAGCCGGGCCAGGACCCGACGTTCGGCGATCGTGTGCTCGACTTCGTCGCGGGCGACGATATTTTGCTGTGCGTCGGGCGCGGAGGGGGAGGGAGGGCAAAGGGCCAGGAAGGAAAGTCAGCGGGTGCTCCGGCATCGGCAAGCAGACAGAGCGAAGAACCGGTGGCGGCTGTGCACCTTGCGAATGATCTTCATGGCGTAGATGCGTCCGGTGTCCTTCTTGCGGACCTGCATCACCTTGCCGAAAGACCCCTTGCCGATGACTTTGAGCAGCTCGAAGTCCTCGATGGCAAGACGCTTTTTCTGCGGGAAGGGGCCCGGTTGTGGAAGAGACCAGGGAGGCGCGGGTCAGTGTGGTCCGGGGGGAGGGGGGGGAGGGGGGGCAATGGTTTGAAATGCGGCGATCCAGGGGCATGGAAAGGGGGGCACGAACCTCGGGCTTCTTGAAGGAGGTCTGGATCTCCAGCTCGCCGATCAGGTCGCCCTGCTCATTGAAAAGGGGCATCCAATCGTCGAAGGTCTTTCCCTCCACCAAATTCGGCCGGCTGCGATTGGACCCGACGAATACCTGCTCGCCGGAATCCAGGGACTTGATCCAAACCGAGAGGACAATCTCGGCATCGACGCCGGCCACATCGAAGTGCGCCCGGTGCTTGAACAGCGGGTTGGGGTAGTCGTCATTTTGCGCGGCGAGGGTCACCTCGTTCTTGTCGTACTCCAAGACCGCGATGACAACCAGGCGCCGGCAGGGAGCGCCGCCGGTTGGCGAAGCCTGGATGGTCTGGGGGTTGGGGGTGTAAAAGTGCTGACCCGTGGTCGGTGAGGAGGGAGCCGAGGAGATCAACGAGAAGGGGGGCGGGAAGCACAGGCGCTTGCCCTTGATGATGCGGATGGACAGGAGACCACCGGAATCGAGCATGTCTATGGGAGGGCACGAGTGTCGAAGGGCGGCCGAGCGGGTGGCGTCAGTGGCAGGGGGCCGGGCCGGGGTCGGGGGGGGGGGGGGGGGGCGAGGGAGGAAGAAAGAGGGCACAAGGGGGGGGGGAGGGCACCATCTTCGACGCCCTTGGGCGGGTTGTTGGCGGTGACCGCCGGCAGGGGCTCCATCTGCGGGGTCGGGAAGCTGCTGGCCCCGGGCGGGATGATGGCCGCTGGCCGGGTGGTCTCAACCGGGGGGGACCCTGGAACCGGCCCGGAGTGCAGACCCGGCGACTGTGGCGTCTCGGTGGGCAGGGACTCGGTCGAGAGCGGCGGCACAGTGGGCGATGAAGCGGCAGGAATCTGGGGGGCGGTGTGTGTGTGTGTGTGTGTGCGTGTGTGCGTGTGTGTGTGCGTGCGTGCGTGCGTGCGTGCGTGCGTGCGTGCGTGCGTGCGAGTACACGGTGGAGGCAGCACAAGTGGTCAGAGGGGAGGGCAGTCAAAAGGGCACGAGGCGACGAATGGGCAGTGCCATCCTGACGGAGGACGCACACTTCTTCCGCTTCACTGATGACCGCCATGGAAGGGCGGTCGAGGCGTCGGGAGAGGGGGACAAAGGCGTGTGAGTGCATGCGGAGGAGGAGCTTGGACATTGAGACGGGGGAGAGAAGCTGGGAAGACGGACCGCCAAACATCTTCTTCATCAATTTGGCGGCGGGGGCGGCCTAGCAGGACCGCGGCGGATGACCAGAAGAACCAGTCACCCAGAAAAGGGGCACGAACACCGGGCGGAGCGCGCGAAGGGAAAGTGGACGGGGCTGGGAAGAGGCGGCTGGGGACCGGAGAGGAGAGAGAGAGAGAGAGAGAGAGCGGGAGGGAGAGAGGGAGGGAGGGGAGGGAGTCGGAGGGGAGGTGTTGCCGGGGATGGGCGGCACCGTTTGCCTGAGTGGCTCGCCTTATGCGGAGGGCGGGGGAACAGGGGGGAACGGGGGAGGGGGGGGGGCATGGACGGGCGGAGCAGGGGGGAGGAAACAAATGGATGCATCCCCTGGGGGCGAGGGGGGGGGGCGACTCAGTCCCTGGGTCGTGGCCCACCCACGATCTGGGCCGCAGGGGCTTTCTGCCCCCCCCCCCCCCCCCCCCCCCCGTGGCCCCCCGTGGTTTGGTGCCGGGGCGGTGTTCGAGCGTGGCGGGATCCGCGGGGCCACCCCAGGAGCCTAAGATGCCGGCGATGGGTGTATTTCTCTCCCCCCCCCCTCCCCGCGGTTGGCCCTCCGGCCACGGAAGCCCGTCCTCTCCGATGGGCACCTGCGGGTATGCCCGGGACCAGGGGTGCCCCCCCCCCCCTGCGCACGAAAGCCCGCACACTTACGCACACCTGCGCATGCACACAGCCACCCACACACACACACACACACACACACACGAGGGGCGGCTCTTGGTGCCTGCCATTGCGCACGGCTCAGCAGTATATTGCCCTCTCAGGGGGGCAGGTGGCCCTGGCGGAGATGCCTGCCGCCGGCAGGGCCACCTGCCGCTGTGTGGAACACCATATCATCCTGGCGGGCTCACGGTCGACCGACGAACACTCACACGATCACAAGCCCGCACTCGCACGTCGGTGTGCCCGCGCCCGGTGGGAGATGATCGGCTGGTCTGGCGATCCGCCCCGAGGGGGGGCGAGGCCGGAGGGCTGGCAGCGCGGGGACGGACCGGCGAGGGGGCGAGGAGACACCCATCTCCATACGGAGGATGGGTAACCCCCGGGGACATATACTGCCCCGGCCTGGGACGTCGCTCGGAAGGCAGGGAGGCCCGACCGGGGGACCGAGGGACCGGGGGACCGGGGGACCGGGGGACGGGCGGGGGGGCGGGGGGGGGGGGGGGGGCTCCAGTCAGAACTTCAGTCACCCTCCACGCCCAGTTCCCTGCGCCCCCCGGTCGGGGCCAACCTATCCGGGCCCAGGCGAGCATCGGCCTATGTGGGCCGGTGCATCACCTTTCGTCCGGTTGTGCCGGCGGCCGGCGCGGCGGGAATTATGCCGAGCACGGCGACAAGGGGCCGGGAGGGGGGGGGGGGGGGGGGGGGGGGGTGACACCCCTGCGCCTGGGAAAGCTGGTCTGCCTTGCTGACAAACGCGCCGAGGTGGGGCCTCATGCGCCACGGGAGAGCACTCCCACCGGCGGCCGGGGGCCGGGGAGGGGGGGCATGCCCTCCCGGCCGGCACTCGGGGCCCACCGAACATGGACGCTAGGGACCCCAACCGCCCGGGCGGTGTCCGGCAGGCCTTTCCCTGTGGGACGCCGGGCTCTCTCTCTCTCTCTCTCTCTCTCGGCCCGGCCCGGCCCGGCCCGTCTGGTGCCCACTTTGGGCCACATCCAGGGGGCGCGGGGGGCGGGGGGCGCCGAGAGCCCTGCGGCCGCCGGATCAATTCGGCCCGGCCCCTGTACCCGAGGCCCTGGCAGAGCAGGACCACCCGGCCACTGGCCCCCCGCACCCCCCCCCGCCTTCTCCCCCCGTACCCCCTTCCCCCGGGCGCGAGCCGAGGAGAGGGTGGGGAGGGGGGAGGGGGGGGGGGGAAGAAGCGCGGGAAAGCCCAGGGCATGCGAGCGCAATGTGCCCCCGCACCCGCGCGCGCGCGCGCGCCCCTGTGAGAGCCGCCGAAACTCGCGGTGCGTTTTCCCTTCGGAGTCTGTGCGGTCCCCGCGTGCCGGGAGCCCGGCGCGGCATTCGCCAGGTGGCCAGCGAAGGCGCCGGCCCGAGCAAGCTGCCGTGTTGCAGCGCCCTGCCCGGCGCCGTCTGCCGGGCGCCCAAGGGGCATGGGAGACCTCCCAACTGATGAGGTCAGGGGTAAATGGGGTTCATTAATTTTACGGAGCGTCTGGATGCGCTCGCGCCCGGGCCTGCCGGCTCCGGGTGCCGCCCGCAGCCAGCCTGCGCCTGGCCCCCCCCCCCACCTCCCGCACCCAGGCAGCGCGCCAGACGCGGACATCTCCAGCTGGTCCTTGGCGTCATATGCCCGGACCCAAGGGAGAAGGACGACCGCCGCTCCGCGCAGGGGAGCAGGCGTGGCGAGCCACCGGCCCGGGCACGACGCCGTCTCGCCAGCAGCCACGCGCCCCCTCGGAGGCCGAATGGCCCTGGGGCCCTGCCGCCCCCCCGTTTCCCCCTTCCCTGCCACAGGCATGGGAAGCCGCTGCCCCACCACCAGCCGGGGAGGGGGGGGGGGGGGGGGGGGGGGGGGGGGGGGCCGCCGGAGTTTCGGCCGTCCCGCGGGTCAGCCAGAAGCTGCAGCATGTGCCCAGGTCCGGGGCCTAATTAAGGTACCACATGGGGGCGGTTCGAGGAGACGGTACACCCAACCCCTCCGGGCAGGCCGCCCCTCCCCAGCTACCAACCATCCGCAGGGCAGACACCCCGCCCAGGGGGAGCGGGGGGGGGGGGGGGCGGGGGACGGACAGGATCTCCCAGGCAGGAAGCCCCCCCTCCAAAAGGCCTTGTGCGCTGCGCACGCCTCGCGTGGAGGGGTGCGCAGGAACAACGAGCGGCAGGGGCGGGAAAGAAATACACGGGCGAGGTCCGGTCGCCACGCCACCTGGAAGGCAAGGGGGAGGACGCCAGCGCGCTGGCCCTTCCCGGAAATGGGGCAAAGGGGGCCCTCATCGGCGGGCGGTCCCAGTGGAAAGGGCGCGGCCGGCCCCGGGCAGGTCAAGGATGTGTCCTGGCCTCCACAACGAGAGTCACCCTGCGGACGGGCAAGGCGGACCCTTGTTTGAGGCTGGGATCTCCCGGAGGGGGGGGGGGGGCGAGCGGAGGAGGAGGTGGCGGAAAAAGGTGGCTGCGTCAACAGCCGCAGGGGCGCCGGGCGACGCGTGAAGGCCGCGGGGCGCCGGGGCAGCCCTTCGCCATGTCAGGCCTTCGACCCTCCCCCCGGAAGGACACGACTACAGGCGGGCGCGAAGTGCGTGCGCCCCCTCCCCGCCCCCTCGGGCAGGGACTTCATGGCGCAAACAACACAAGGTGAGGCGGGGTGCCATCAACCGGCCTGGGGAGAGGACCGGGGCCCAATGTCACTCCCGGGGGCGCGGGGGGGCCGGCGTGCCCATGTCCCCGGTGGTCGTCCCCCATGCCAGGATCCCGCGGTGGCCTGTCGCCGTCGATGCCCGGCCGGCGTCCAACTACCGGGCAAACATCGGCCG